ATCTTAAACACCAATCATTACTGATACGATACCAAAATAACCTCGGGTTTACCGCAGAATATAAGAACAGGAGGGGAAAACAAAAACAGCTTGAGGAATAACAATTTTTTTGTTTACTGCACGCCATGTTTAATTTTTTGCTTTTGTTTATTTTTGGGATCACACACAAGAAAGAATGCATTCATGCCACTGACTTCGGTTAGAAGCCATATCCTGCAGTGTCCCCAGTCAAAGACAATCTCTTGAACCATCTATGCCACGTCATAGCAATGACGAGATTCGTCTTCGTGTGTTAGGTGCGGACAGTCGTTCTCTAAAAGAAGTAATCGCCTTAAAGCCCCTCCGATGGCTTGGACAATTTTCTCGTATTTCTGCCTATCTTCAACTTTTCGGTGCTCTTTTTGCACGGGCTGGGTAAGGCTGAAAGAAGAACTGCGATAGTCAGACAATGGCAAGGCGCGGCGGTATGATGAAACTAGCTTTAGCCTTGGGTTCGGTTGGTGCGGCCCGCGTTCGAGATTGTGGCCCAGAATAAAAGTTAATGGTGCCAATGCCGTGCGGTATAACTGCTGATATGCAAAGCCCCATAATAAACAATGAAATAACACGAAAAAACGATTTAAATTATTATTCTTGTAACTCAATGTAACTGTTTTACTTGCATTTCCCTGTCCTTTGTTATTATTGTTGTTACGTTAACACCATGGTTGTTTAAAAGCCGGTGAGCATCACCCGTTTTAACTATATTTTATTTGCCAACCAACAGAGGTCTTTGGAACACTTCAGTACGAGTTCCATTGATTTTGAGCCACTAATTAATCACAGACGTACATACTTCAAGATTTTTGAGTGTCATGATAACCAATCAATAGCTTTAGGATTCGTCATTTTATAAGTGCGGCATTATCAGGACCGTGGTTTTCAATCATCTTTCGTCCTTCGTGGAATAAAATTAAAACGGAAGAGGTCGTATTGATCACCAATTAAAGAATACCATTTAATAATTTATAAAGGAAAAGAGCACCCGGTTTCCATAGCAAACTTACTTGTATACCGAGAAAAGTCACATAAGATAAAATGCTGAGCAACGATGGAAGCCAACCTCTATCCCACAGATAGCTGAGGTACGCGGACATGGACACACGACCCTGTAAAATCTCTTCATCAACCATAAAATGATCGGATATGGAAGACGATCGGCTATCTGCTAATGACGCTCGGACCTCCAAATCTCCGGCTGCTTCAATCCATGGATCTTCTTCTGTGCACTGCTTATCCTGTTCTACCAGCTGACGTGGTTCTGTGAAAGTGATCTATTTAAGTAAAACGGGAGAAAAGCAAACATTCACTAACTGGACCAAATCAACGAGAATGTACTGATCAATGACAAATCCAAATCAAGGGTATAACCCGTGACAAACAGTTTTTTGCGAAATTTTCTAAATTACATAACAGGACTTGGGAATGTTATATACCTACAAGAAATTAGGGTAAATTTGCTAATATTGATCAAAAAGGGACAGAGAAGAGCGGAAAATACCCCTGTCCGACAGTAGATTAAAAACACGACTACGATTGATGCGCCTCCTTTCAAGAAAATTGGTATCTCAGCAAGTCTCTCGGCAGGAGCATATAAAGACTCGAATGCACAAAATAAAATGTCTTCAGCACATCCAAAAAAATGGTGGACGGACCAAAATGCATAGATGATTTTACTACGGAATAATCCGGCTCGCTTTGTTTCAAAGAACTGCTGAAAACCTTTATGGAATGATTTCAATAGCTCCACAGGCCAGGTGAGTATTTCGTTTTGGAATTAAAATTCATGTTTCGCGGAAGACATACTGCCCGGCTTATAGACGGAAACTGACTGGGTCGCCCCTTGTGCAACACTATAGGAACGAGAGNCAAAATGACCTACGATCGCAGGTTCACTGGTTTTCAAGATGAAAGGAGGATAAGCGAAGTAAACAGCTGAAGGAAATCCCTTCCTGATTACAAATGCTTATACCAGAAGGTATATCTGGCAAACATTGTGGTTTTTTCGCATTAATATTGCAACAACAGATTGAATGATAATTTGTTTAGCATGCCAGGGGGATTTGGAAATGTCCCAGTTACTGTAGAAATCCCTCTAAGGTAATATGTTAGGGAAAGCCTAACCTTCCCCTGTGAATTTTCACGAGTTGATTTTGAGATGCATTGAGATCAATCGCCTTCGTGAGAGCGTGTTGAGTTTTTCTCGAGGGTTCTGGATGCCTAGTCGTCAGGGTAACATACAGAGAGCACCAAACGTTTTATGTGCAATTTTTCCATCGGAGCCCTCGGAACCCCGATTCTGGACAAATGATCAACCCCACATGCACCGCAAGTTTATTCCCTTCTTAATCCGCGTTTGGCTGACACACAAAGGCTTGCAATACCTGCAACTGTCTTTTAACGAGGATCATTGTGGTGGGATAAGGTTCGGTGATAGCATTGAAAAGACAAAACAGTGCTTCATACGGCCTCAATCCAGTCCTCTGATGGACGGTGATTAGTCATCATTTATGACAATATTGTTTCAGGGATGCCACATTTAAATTGATCACCAGATAATCAAGTAACTTGGCAATAAACCCAAACGTGTAAGATTACTTCTGTATTATTATTCTACACAAGTTGTTACTCACATCTATGTAGATCTTTATCAATCATACTACTCTTGGTGCATAGTCAGTCTCGTTGTGAGACATTTGAGTGACTCAGCAGGCGCAATCTACTGGGGGCTGCGTTGTTGGGTTCAGTGAAGAAAAAACAGCTATTGGTGGTGAAAATCTAGTCGACAGTGAATACCCCAGCTCTTCCGGCTTAACGAGCTGGCACAATTACCAACTGAATTTCAGAATCCGCAATTAAAAAGCAAGATGGTTTGACTGTTGATAGGACAGACCAGAATTGTCGGTTAGTAAATGAACAACGATCGGAGATGGTACTCACTCCAGTAGGACTACCAGGCATTCCAGATCGACGTCTAACACCAATGTCACAGAAATCATCCGGATGGAAAAAGAATTCATCGACATTCCGATCCGCCAAAGTTGGACTGATTAATTCGACCCGACCGGTAGAAACACGACGCGAAGTTGCGGGAGTGGGAGACAAGCTGGAACCTAGAATACTTCCATGAGTGGTCGAATCCTATTAAAACCAAATGAAACGAACAAATTGATTGATAACAACAACTTACACTTTGAGAAATAATCACTCGTATTGGTATCCTTTCTACGGTAGGGTTGTTCACGATTTGATAAGATAAGAAAAACAGCTGGATATATGACAATGAACTCTGTAAGACGCCATGGTTGAAGTTAGAAAAACAGGAGGCGTTTTATCTGACAAACCTTGCGTTTTGGTCACAATTTTCAACCGAATGTAATCACCTGATGATAAATGAGCTGTGCATCTAAGTGCAAGGATGTGCAAAATGCATATCACCATTCTTTTCGATAGGGAATAAAATACAATGCAGTTAGGCATCAATCCAACAAAAAAAATCATTTTATCAGAATAAAGACAGTGTGTATTTAACACAAGAATGAAAAAGGTAAGGTGCGAACATTCTACCTAGTAGAAATCCATGCGACTAATGGATAGAGACAAAATATTGTTTACTTCGGTATTGGCCGTTGTATTACTTGGGTTTCCAAACCAGAGTAGATGGAGATGGGAAGTTTGCCCAGAAAACTCAACAGAACAATATAACCTATTCGACTGAGGAACAAAGTATCCAGTCTGCAACCCACTGGAACAAGACTTTCACACTTAAGGAGCTCAATAGCCACATTGCTTCTTTCAGCCGGTGATCGTCTATTTAGTCATCCTATGGTTAGTTAAATCCGCTTGTTATGGGTGATTTGATGGTGTGATTTTCGATTTACACAAACTGGCTAGTTACCGATGGCTCATCAAAAGGGTGGAAACTCCAGAAGGGAGATATTTTTTGTGCTACACCCACAGAATCAAT